CCCCCTGCTACTGTACAAGGTCTGAAAAGTCATAGGAATAGAAATAGCTAGAGTAGTGTCCTTGGAAACAGGAGTGGACACACACACACACACACTTCGAACTTGGGTTTTTCAGTTAACGCAATTGTCTCAATGGGAAGGAAGGCGATGGAACGGCAAGGTGGAAAGGTCAGCTTAAACTGTATTGTTTAACACAGGTTTCACGACAAGCGCAAGTGGAAGCGGCGGTCAGCAGCTGCAGTGCAGTGGGAAACCTGTTTGTGGGGAAAGTATCGTGTGGAACCACCATGAATCAAACCAAAAGATTGGACAGCGTGTTCAAAAGTTGAAGCAGGTACACATCAGGACGTCTCCCGATGCATCACCAGAGAATGTGGACGTCTTCGTTGGCAGTGATTCCACAAACTCTGTCACTGCCCCCTGCCTGATTGGGGTGGTCGAAGGAAACCCTTTGTCCAGGGGTGGACACACACAAGTCGCCGGCTTCGGCGCTTTTTCAAGACACCCCCTACCGTTGAACCAGTGGACGAAAACCTTTTGCCCAGGGTGGATACACACACAGAGCCGTGTTCGGCGCGGTCAAAGTAGTAGTAAGGCCAGGGGCCTCCAGTAGCGTCCTAACTCCCAGGGGAACATTTGTACAAAAAGCGCCAAATTGTTGGCGCAACGAAGAACTAGTAGACACCTAAAAAGCCTTAGAAAGACAGAAAAAGCAACGAAACAAGAGCAGACTAAGAGGGCAAGAAAGAAAAATAGGGTAGTTACGAGGCCCACTTAGTTAAACGAAAGTAGAAGGCGAGCGGGACATTCGTCTTAGACCGCCCGGGTAGCCAGCAATAGCTAGGAGAAACAGAAGGAAAGGCACCAACACACAAGTGTGTTGAGTGCGATTTCCTTCTGTTTCCCGAGTAGCGGGTGGGATAGCAACGGAGGCCTGGGGGGGGGGGGTGTGCATGATGAATTCATCCGGCCTGTGAATACTTAGCAGCGCAGGCATGTGAATACTTAGCCGTCAAGTAGGCTCAGGCTAGCGAGTTTGAGTTCTTCAGTCTCCCGTCGAGGAAAGAATCGCGGTAGCAACATAGCAAACATAGAAACTCGCACATGATTTGAGTTCTGTCGATGAAAGAATCGCGGCAGCAACATAGCGAACATAGAAACACGCACATGATTGGAAGACATGAAAAGAAAACTGAATGCTGAAATCTGAGATCTGAATTTTGGAATCTGAAGGATTCTTCAAGAACCGTTTTTTGGCCCGGCGGCCGGTGTGGCGGTTGATTCTGTGAGGGTGTCGGTGCCTTCCTGTGATAATCCAGTGAGCGGTGGTGCGTTGGGGTGGTTGCTTTCCCATGCAAGAACGGCGCCCCTGTGACGGGGATCACACTCAGCACCCGAGTGGGACGGCTGAGCAGGACACACTTCGAACTTGGGTTTTTCAGTTAACGCAATTGTCTCAATGGGAAGGAAGGCGATGGAACGGCAAGGTGGAAAGGTCAGCTTAAACTGTATTGTTTAACACAGGTTTCACGACAAGCGCAAGTGGAAGCGGCGGTCAGCAGCTGCAGTGCAGTGGGAAACCTGTTTGTGGGGAAAGTATCGTGTGGAACCACCATGAATCAAACCAAAAGATTGGACAGCGTGTTCAAAAGTTGAAGCAGGTACACATCAGGACGTCTCCCGATGCATCACCAGAGAATGTGGACGTCTTCGTTGGCAGTGATTCCACAAACTCTGTCACTGCCCCCTGCCTGATTGGGGTGGTCGAAGGAAACCCTTGGTCCAGGGGTGGACACACACACACACACAGCTGCGGAACGTGGCCTCGCGGGTTCCTTACCCCAACCGCGGGGAGACCCCGCCGACGCGGGGCCGAGGCGAAGTGGAGCTGCGGGGCGACTCTGCCTCTCTGGCCGTGGTGCCCACGGACCGCCGCGACGGACGGCTCGCGTCCGGCCACGGGGACAGCAGTGGTGCGGGATACGCGGGGGTCTGGGGGTCTGGGTTCGGAGCAGGGCTGCCAAGGGGTTTGGTGGTTTTTGTTTGGAAACGGCACATGGGGAGCAGTTCAGCCACAGATGGAGTTTTGACATGTTTAGAACATGTTTTAGTTTCGTACTACTTTCCCGGAGAGTGAGAAGATGAAAGAGTCGGGTGAAGGCCTGGCGCCGGGTTCAGGTTGTTTAGTCGAGTTCTTGTCCACTCGTCCTCACCGACAGTGAGGGTTTTCCTGCGCGGTTTCCCGCTTAGCAGGGCGCATCCCGGGAGAAAGGTGGCTCTTGCATCAACGGTTGCCTTTTTTTTTGATCTGGCACAGCAGAGAGAGGAACAGATGGGAGTCCTTGAACTTGAACTGTACCAGGACACCGTAAGGGGCTTCTATTAATTGATAGCCCCTTAGACTGTAGCTCACTGGCTTTCTGGCCCCCCAGACTGTTTTTCAGGTCTGGTGAGTGCGATGTGCCAGCTGGCTAAGGCATTGTGGTCCAGCTGGGGGTGCACGATGCGCCGGACTTGTCGCTTGGGCTGAGTGGAAACCGACTGCCACACTGCCAACCCTTTATGCCAGCGAGAACCACCTGTTCCCCAAAGAAAAGCTTCCCTGTCCCTTTTTTCAGGGGTGGAATCTTCTGTCGTTGTTGCAAGGAAGCAGTGCCAAACTAGACATAGTTCCTTCATTCCCTCACCTGGCTGTCAAATGCCGTGTAGCTCCACTTTGGTGGCTCCACCTTCCTCAGGAAGCCTCTCTCCTTGCGGCTCATCCTCCACCACTGCGAGCTCCAGCGCCGCGTCGGCCCCACCGGCGCGGAGCGCGGAGCGCCCGCGCGGCACGCCTCCGAGCGGTCGGAGCGGTCGGAGCGCTCCTTGGGGCTGTCCTCCATGACGAGCAGCGGGCTGGGCGTGGGCGGGGCTGTCCTCCATGCGGAGCCGCCCTTGATCAAGGTGGTGGGTGTGGCCTCCATGTTGATGGCAGCTTGGGAGAGATGGTGCATGGACGTGGGGACGATGTGGCTATCTACCATTTGCTTGGGTGGGTTTGGTTTCGATTCGGGAGCACCCGCAATGGGTGGATCTGGGCCATCCCGGATCGGGACAGCCAGTCGGTGTCACAGTGAGGGAATAGCGCAGATACCACGTGGATGACTGGAAGGCCAACTCTATAGATGACTAGAAACCATTTGGGATGGAGATTGAAGTATGTTTGATCTCATCTATCGACGCAGCGGCCGGGGGTCTCTCGTGGGCCCCTGGGCCACTAGCGGCCCGACCCGACCTGAGTAGTTCGGGTGACCCGCATGGATGTGGTGTGCAGGTGATCCGTCAGCCGCAGGCACTCGTCTTTGGACGGCACCTGAAGTCAGCTTCCACCCAAGAAACCTCCCCCGGCGCACCTGAGGCCTACGGCCTTACGTCACACCGGTGGTTTGCCCCATTGGCCTGGCCCGTTCTCCGCTTCGCCTCGGTCCGCCGCCGAGGATCTGACCGAGCCGCCCGATCGCCGCGTCGCCGAGCCGGTGCCGCCGCGCTTCTGCCTGGACGTGGGCGACGCTGGCGCCGGAGGTAGCAAGCGGCCTGGCGCGTTGGCGCCCGAAACGAAGAGGGTTGGACAGGGAGGTCCGCAAGGGGTTCTAATTCTATGTTGGCCGTTGGGTTGCCAGGTCTATATATTGAGGAGCATTTTGGAACTCCTGGCAGTTGGAGTTGGATCGCTCGCAGAAATCATCACAATCAACAAGGATTCAAGAGGACTGTTTAACTCTGTGAACTATAACGTTGACAGAATGCACGCCGGTTTGTTGGAGGTGAGTGTTCTTCCACCCCTCTCCACACCGTCACTATTTTCTGCGAAGATGTTTCCCAATTGTGAACAGAGGGTCCAGATTTCCAGTACTGAGTACTGCTTTTCTAGCCTCATAGCCAAAGCCAAATCACTCTAAAGCGGTCAGAAGCTTGGAATGGAAAACACCTGGAAACCATGTTTTTTGTAGACATCCTGAGGTAGATTTTTGGGGGTTTCACGGATTTGTTTTCGCTTTCTTATAGTCCCTGCTCACTGCTCTTCATATCTCTTAATTCTTCTTCCACAGAAACAAGTGAGTCCTCTGGTTTTCTCGGAGTCCCGGGCGGAGAGTCCTCATGCTCATGCTAAGGCTCCAGGCGTGCTTCTCGTACCCCATGCTGCTGGACATCCTGGAGCTCATCGGGCAGCTGCAGCTGGAGCTTTTAGAGGCGGTCTCCGAGGAGGAGGACGAAGCAAAGCGCTTGCACGCGACATGAGTCACATAGAATTTTCCACCGGTGTGTTACAGGGGGAGTAAAGCTGCTGTCTTAGCGCGTTCTCCTACGGATCTTGGAGGGTGGAGGGTGGGAATGGAGTACGGTTGAGATTACAGGTTTTGGTGCGATTTTGGTGTGGTGTGAGGGTGGTTTTCAGGAGCTTCGAACACAGGACACCCTGGCCCGCCACATTCCCGTGCTTGTGGCCAGGAGGTGCTGGAGCGGAGGCTCAGCGAGCAGCGGCGCTCGGCTGCGCGGCGGAGCTCGTTGATGTACATGCAGCGTGGAGTGGAATTTCCGTGGAGTGTTTTTGGGTGCTAGCGATGGTCTCCAACGGTACGCAAGAGCAATGGCCTCCAACTTGAGAGGGATGGCCTCCAACCTACTAGCAATGGCTTCCAACCTTAGTAAGAGTGTGTAATTACTTGGTTCTGGATGAAGCACACCTTCCCAAATGGTACTTTTGGTCCGTGCTTGGTGCTTGGTGGGATGGATTTGCTCCCATGGGATGTGACTGGGGACTTGCATGGGGACTTGCAGTTCGAATTCGACGTGGCTTTCCGTGGCGCCTGCGGTCCGGAGGCTGATCGGAAGGGAACCGGTGCACTGGGAAATACCGAAATACCGGTTTTTGTGTTGTTTCTGGGTGAAAAGCCTTCCTCACATGCAGATGTATGAGACGTGAGATCAAAGTTCTATTTTGATGTTCTTGAAAACGTAGGAGCCCAAAGGAACAACATCAGTAACTTCACCAGATGCTTTTGAGGGTTGCTGGCTTTCAGTCAGCTGGAAGATCTTAAAGCTGGGCGGCTTTTTTCTCGGTCGGGTGGCCTGCACAAAAGGCAAGAATGTACCAGGCTATTTGGTGAGTAGTTTGGGAGCCATCCAGGAGGTTGACCATAGATCAAAATTGCAAAGGCTTGGCACTGGCACCATATATTTCCTTTTAAGCCCAAAAGTCCCAAAAGCCCTTAAAGAAGTGTGTTTGGATGAGACTGACCTGCACAACCCGCGAGGAATCTGAGAACTTCTATTCCACCCCTAAATCAACTGTGAGGGGTTTTCCTAACCTGGAGCCGCCGGGGCCCTCAGCTTCATTCGAAGTCCAAGCGCCCCGGAAGAACACGCGTTTTGACCGAACTGGGCCTGTTCCGGATGGCGTCGCTCGCGGCAGGCAAGAATATCCATGGGTTTCCAGGGGGAATTCGGGCCGGACCCTTCCCTCTCAGAGGGCGAAGCGGTGGCATTCGGGCGCCTGCGGGCCCTCTCCTGGGCGCCTGCGGGGTTCTTGCGGGCGGGACCTGAGGCCCATCAGCTTGGAAGAAGAGGGTGGAATCGATGAGGACCGTGCCGGAGTGGAGGGGAAACTGGAAGACATGGGAAAGTAAAGGGGGAGGTTCGAGCGAAATCGGCTGAGAAGACATGGATGAGACTTTCGGGGACCAATGAGACAGCATTTTAGATCGGTGGATGAATTAATAGGTTCTATTGATAGCTCCTTAGAGGTTTATAAGGGGTGTCCATGAAGCACCCCAGAACTGGGTCCAGGACCATTCTGGCAGAGACCTTGTCAAACAGCCTGCATGGCAGCTTTAGAGACCCGCCCTTGTCCCGCCTAGCTCTCACCTGCCGGGCTCTCGAGAGCTCCGCGAGTCGCGACTCGCGAGTCGCGAGGCTGAAACGCTTGCGCTGGTGAGGCGAGGTGGGACGATGGGCAGTGGAAGGGGTGTGGCGAGTGTGGCCGAGTGTGGCCGAGGACACAGGTGTTTCAGGCGGTGGATGACGTTGGATGAAGAACTCGAGCCTTTCCTTGATCACACCCGGCCCCCTCCCGAATCTGGGAGCCTCAGGTGGAAGATGTGAACCCAAAAGAGCTTGGGTTCGCATTTCCTTTGCAATAGGGCTTTTGGCTATGGGGTTTTATTAGTTCAAAAGAGATTTGTAGTCTATCTTTGTATGTGGAATTTTAAAGACAAATTCTCACTATCATCCATCTATCTCTTATTCAGGTTTCTTGTTTCAGATCGCGCTGGGAGGCTTGGGAGCCCAGGGTCTTGAATTCCCAAAGGTAGGAGTGGACCCGATGATTTCGGGCACCCAACCACCAGCGGGCAGCCGTGTTGTCGCCGTGTTGTCGCCGTGCTTTCGATGACACGAGACCTTCTTCCAGCCGATGTCTTCTTCCTTTTTCTCGCGTCCCGTGGCTACACCGCGTGGGCGTGCCCCAGTCCAAGTTTGGATCAGTCAGGTTCCACACGTCCACTTTTCCGGTTCCTTTTGCGTTGGTCAAGTCACGAAGTCACAGTCACCCAAACTTTTTAGTGAGCTCAGTAGTTGAACTACTCCGGCTTGTCCGGGTTGTCCCTTTGCTCCCGCAGCGGTGGCCACCTGGGTCTCTCGCCGAGCGGTCTTCTTTCTGCTCGCCGAGCGCGCTCACTGTCCACCTGGTCGGATGGAGACCGATGACATCGAGGTCTTCAATGGAGACCTGGTCGGCTTGTGAAGAACAAGACCATGAAAAGACTGCCCCCCCCCCACGTTCGGATGGTTCGGTTTTGGTTCGGCCCGCATTGCAGATGCCAGGATCCTGAAGCACATCAGTGAGGCGCAGCTGGCCAGTGGGACTGCCGCGCTCGAAGCGCCGGGCAGCTGCCCCAAGGACTTCCGGGTGAACTGCGTGCAGGTGCGAACGTCCGGGGAGATTGGAGATGGAGGTGGCTTTTGCATGAGGTCTTGAAAACTTTTTGAAGACTTGGAAGAGCGTTTCCAAGGTCAGTTTCAAGGTCTGGTGCGTTTGGCAGTGCTCTCCACGTCCAGAATTTTTTCGATAGGCCACAAGGGGCCTCTTTTCTTTGCCACTGTGACTGTGAATGTCGGGTTGCGCACGACCTGCTCGTGTTTCGACCCATCGCATCCGAAGACGCTCTGAGTGTCTGGTCAAGTCTCGCTCCCCTCACCTCAGCTGTCTCAGGAGCCTCTTCTTCACAGCTCGCCCGCCTCCCAACCCGCCTCCCCGGACACCCACACCGCTCCACTCGCTGCCGGCCGCTCGTACGCCGGCCGCAGCCGCAGCCGCAGGCCCCCTTGACCCTGCTGGTGCCTTGCGCCCGGGCCATCGACGGGGCAGAGGTGAGGGTCTTCCCAGGTGGTGTAGAATCTCGGGTGTCCTTGGTCTGTTGGTTTGAATGGGTCAGCTGTAGACCCCAGGCCAGTCTTCGAAAGAGAGTGGCCAAAAAAGAGCTCAACGAACGAACAACGAAGCACGTGGTCAACTTTCCATGCAACTTCATACTTTGTTGTTTCAACTTCCAACCATGGAACTTCATATTGGCGGTATTTGGCTCAAATGCAGCACTTGTCGTGTAACCCTGCCTCCTTTCTTGGCGCTCTTGATACCTCCAGCCAGGCAGTTCTCAGCATGAAGGTCACCGCAATGA